CCCCTATGTCACAATCATGCGCGAAAACACAAGGCTGCACGCACAGAGCACATGCTACACGTAGTGCAATACAGAACATACACCATTCAAAACGTTGATATTTTATGAGATACATGTATCTTCAGTTGCTACAGAGAGTGTACAGTCGATCGCTGATAGCCGATTGGTATGGTGTTCCATATGTGCCATCTGGTCGCATTTTTCGACGGGCGTCGCATTTTTCGACGGTAAATTTTAACTTTGACCTCCACACAGCCCATTTGAAGCAAGATATTTGACAGAGAGAACCCCCGCCTTTGTGTTGGTCACTGTTTGATCGGAATCTCAGGAATTCTTTACAGACTTCTGGGGGGGGGGGATGTCCCATATCTTGCCTGGTATAACACAGCCCGTAGCCTACATGCTGTAGCCTCCGACCTGAGTAGAAATGTATACGTTGCTACAACCACAACATGATTTCAGCGAGGTGAACTTCCACGAATAATTGGGTTCATTAAAGGGCTGTTAATTTATTTACATACAGTTAATAGACGCATACATGCTAATTTAGCCGTTTCCATAATCATTAAAACTATGTACGCATACCCTTAGCATCCAAGTCAACAACGTCAGGTCCGGCTGGACCAAGGTTGACCATTGATGATTAATGGCTTATTCACATTGAAAGGAGACGCCGGTTGAAAAACGCGACGCCGGTTGAAAAATACGACACCCATCGAAAAATGCGACGCCGGTTTAATGCGACGCCGGCTGGAAAATGCGACGCCGGTTAAAAAATACGACGCCGGCTGAAAAATGCGACCTGATGGCACATTTGGAACCGTTGGAATTAAACTGCCCGCACGGTGTCAAGTATATGCGTCCGTGCTTCAACCGCGGAACTGTAAAACAGTTAAAATGTTGTGCTTCGTCTTCTCATTAGCCTATTCTCATCTCACCGAAGAGACTCATCATGGAAGGTGCCAGATTGAGATTACTGGGAATATTCGTTAGCCTACTGGTCCTCTCACATGGAAGACATACTGGTGAGTATTTTTTGTTGTTGTCGAAGCTAGACTGTATCCTATCCTCAACAGTGTTTGTTTGTGCCTAGACGCATCAATGATAACTTTTGACTGTGGGCTGTATTATTATGGTGAGTAAGCTACGACGCGACGGCTAAGAGCGGGCTGAACCGAAAGTGTGCTTTATTGAGCAAGACAGGACAGATTGTTGCTCGTACTGTCGCTCTGTCATTATGAGCGTACGTGTAATTTTATAAACTGGGTACCATGGAAACATATACACCTTTTCACATTAACACTCGATATTCCAAAAAGGTCACGCCGACTTTTTTTATTTGGCTATCTTTTAAGTGTGGAGGCTCATTCACAAATTTAGCTGGTCATATGCAGCAAAGTATGAGACGGAGAG